TATAAATGTACACTGCTGAACCAAGGCCTCCGCCACAGATTGCTACAGTTACACGCTTGACAAACGGGTTTTCAAACGCAGTTTCTTATTTTTGTCGTTATTAGGAAGACGCCGCTACTAATTTTTTGATTTTTCTCTTTCTGTCACCTCTTATGATACCCACGGAATGATATAGGGTAGGCGATATACGCATACCGCCGCCACACAGTACTACGCAGTACTATACCACACGAAACGGCCAGCCGGACGTCTGGCTTAAATTCTATGGTTAAACCGCAAAATTTCAGAGCCATAAAAATTTTCTGGCATTTTCCATAGTTACTTCTTAAGACACTCACTTATTGAAATGGGATGATGGATTCTTATGAATAAAGTTACAATGAGACGGCTCCCAGTACCCGGCGGCCCCGCTATTCCTAGCTACGGTGATGACCATGGTAACAGCGAGACAGGGGGTGCTAAGAATCTCTGGTGGAGGTTTGGTTGCCACCTAAGATGACTCGACCTGGCAACATATAACGCACGCACCCTGAGAACTGACGAGAAGATTCTGCAGCTGAAAGAAGAGATAGACAAGTTGTGCTGGAATATCATTGGATTATCCGAGGTCCAAAGAGAGGGGGAGGACATGGTAATCCTCGAATCCGGCAACTTGTTCTATCACTGGCAGGGCGACCATCTGATCCAAGGAGGTGGAGTTGTGGACGATAAATCCGACATTTATCGTCCACAAGTTTCTCGTTAACAACGTCGTAAAAATTGAGTGTGCCGACGAGGGTTGCGTACCTTATACTTAGAATCACCAAACGGTTCGCTGAAGGTTGTAAAAGTTTACGCACTAACCTTGGCACATTCTGATGATGTGGTGGAGGAAATGTATGAGGATATATCTAGAACCATGCATTCCTCTAAAACACACTATACGTTGTTAATGGGAGACTTCAACCTAAAACTAGTCACAAGAGAGAACGGTGAGCTGAAGATAGGGACATTTGGAATAGGATAACGGAACCCAAGGGACCAGCGCTCGTCGATTTCATGGAGAAAGAGGGACTCTTTATGATGAACTCTTACTTTCAGAAGCGGCGCTACAAGAAGTGGAACTGGTTGAGCCACGACGGTTCGATAAAAATTAGATTAACCTCATTATGACGACCAGACGACAACTGTTCAGTGAAGTCTCAGTGATTGCGTTGGTGAAAACTGGTAGCAATAACCGATTTATTAGAGGCACACTAAACCTATACGTGAAGTTGTAGAAGTCTCTTTTAATGAAGTCAACGCTCCCTCCCCCTTGCGCTCTAATCCAAAGTACCAAAACATTTCAGCTCAAGCTACAAAACCGTTTTCAGTGCCTAGAATATTGCAATTCAGTTGACAATATTGTAGCGGATGGAAGGAAAAGGGGAGATCTCCCGCTGGGCAAGGTGTTCTGCCCGGGGAGCGGCCAATGCTCCGATTGGTAGTTCGGAGCTATTCTATATATGCTGCTTTAATTTCGGAACTTTGATAGCGCGATTTAGGCTTCGATGTGTTTCGCTTGTGGCGCGACGACAGCGCCGCCACAATATGAATGACAAGCTCGTGGAAACTGTCCATGGGTGTTGTGGGTATTTGTGTTATTGTAAACGTAGGTAGTTATGCCATATAATAAATCAGTTGTTGTCTCGCTAACGAAAGTGTATTATTGCAATCACAACATGGTGTCAGAAGTGGTATTACAAGCGTAGTAAATGTTTAAAATCGAGTACATCAATAGAATATTTTGCAACATACATATGTATAGTATAATATTTTGGGAAGTTGTGAACCGCGGATAACTCTATTCAGAGATTATTATAACGAGTGCTCCAATTAACAATGGAGCACGCGCGGCTACCTAGGGAATTACAGTTAGAAGGCGGACCCGTCAGTAGGGCTGATGCTAGGAAGAGGTGGAGACAACAATTCGTATTATTTAGGAAAGCTTCGGGTGTGCACTCGGAGACATCGGCAGTAAAAGCAAGTTTACTTATCAATTTAATTGGTTCAGAAGGATTCGACATTTATCAAACTATTACGTTCACTAAAAAAGATGACCGTGATGATGTGCAAATAATTTTGAGTAAATTTGATGAATATTTTGGAACTATAATTAATATTACGTTGCTGAGATACAAGTTTTACACGCGTAATCAAGAAGAAGGTGAAAACATACAGCAGTATGTTACGTCATTGCGGTTATTGAGTAAAAATTGTAAGTAAAATTGTGAGTAGTGTGAACAGCACAATAGTCCGGGACCGTTTGCTCAGATGTGAGGACCTAGACCTGGACAAAGTGGTGAATTTGTGCCAGGCCGAAGAAATTTCGCAAGAGAGTAGTCGTCAACTAAGTGCTAGTGGTGCTGGTGTGTGTCCTAGTGTAGTGCAGGTAGATAGTGTTAAACAAGGGAGAAGACGACGCGACGCGTAGTGCACAGGCGCGGGGCACCGCGCTGCAAGCTCTGCAAGTGCTGCAAGCGCTGCGTTGCCCGCGCTGTGGAGTCGAGCGCTGTGCAACGCCTCGATGTCCGGCCGTTTACGCCACATGTTTCACTTGTGGCAAACAAGGCATTTTGTGTTTGTAGGCAAAATTTAAATAATAAGGCCGGTGTAAAACATGTATATGATATTGAACAAAATCAAGATGTCACGCGTTCTTTTGATTGTGAATCGTTTTTTATATCAATCATTTATGGTCAAGAGGATTTTTCAGATGGTTGGTTTGAAACATTAAATTTTGAGAAGGGTATCGAAAACTTTAAATTAGACACGGGGGCGGATATAAATGTTATATCTTTTGAAAGATTTTTGCAACTGGGTTTTGATTTCAATATGATAAAAAGTGATCGTGTTAAATTAGAGTCGTATAGCGGTAATATAATACCAGTAAGAGGGGTTTGTTATCTGCAATGTTTTTATAAAAATGTTCGTTATGATTTAAAGTTTGCGATAGCCGATTTGTGTTGTCAAAGCGTGTTGGGGCGACAGTCGTGTGAGAAGTTAGGGTTAGTCAAGCGAATTCATGAAATTAATATATCAGACTACGATGACTTATTTAGCGGTATTGGGTGCGTTCCAGGAAAGTATCATATTGTTTTAGACGAATCCGTACCTCCGGTGATTTCTACTCTTCGAAAGATTCCGTTAAGCTTACGTGAACGTCTAGCAGATGAGCTTAAAAATATGGAAAACCAAGGTATAATAAGGAATGTTTCTCATCCAACTCAATGGGTGCATCCACTGGTGCTAGTCGCAAAAAAGGACAATGGAATTCGCGTTTGCTTAGACCCACGGGAACTTAACCGTGCAGTGCACCGCGCGCATTTCCAATTACCCACTGTGTCAGAGCTCGCAGCGCGACTACACGGAGCGCGCTTCTTTTCGGTCTTAGACGCCAACTCAGGTTTTTGGGCTATACAACTGGATGAGCAGAGTGCAGACTTGTGTACATTTGCCACACCGTTCGGTCAACATCAATTTTTTCGCTTACCGTTCGGTATTAATTGCTCTTCCGAAGTATTTCACACGAAAATGAGGCAGCTTTTAGAAGATTTAGAGGGTACAGAGAGTTTTATAGATGTTATAATTGTCTGGGGACGAAATAAGAATGAACACGGTAGGAGACTAATTGCATTGTTAAAAAGAGCTAGGGAAATTAATTTAAAATTTAATAAAAAGAAATGCAAAATAGGAGTTGAAGAAGTTACCTTTTGATAAAAACGGTATGAGGCGTGACCATAATAAAGTAAAAGCCATTTCTGAGATACCTCAACCCTCGGACAGAAAAAGTTTGGAAAGGTTTTTCTGTCCGAGGGTTTAGGCCGTCACTTATTTATCGAAATTTATTACGTGTAATTCTGATCGCGCTCTTCCCTTAACGAATTTGTTAAAAAAAAAGATAGAATTTGGCGTTGGAAACTTAGTGAGCACAGCGCCAGTGTTAGCGTTGTACGACGTTTCACAGCCTGTCTTGTTATCGGTAGACGCATCTCGCGATGCACTCGGTGCGGTGCTACTGCAGGGCGGTCGGCCGGTTGAATACGCCTCGCGAACTCTTACAGATACGAAACGCCGGTATGCCCAAGTGGAAAAGGAGTTGTTGGCAATTGTGTTCGCCTGTGAACGATTTCACCAATACATTTTTGCAAAAAAATTATGTTGTCGTAGAAACAGATCATAATACTTTGGAAAGTATTTTTAAAATGCCATTAAAGTCTGTCACAGCCCGCTTACAACGAATGATGCTTAGAATACAAGGCTATGATTAAATAGTTAAGTATAAACCAGGAAAATATATGTATATTTCAGATGCATTGTCCCGCGCACCGCTTCCCGACTTAGCATTAGATGATAAATTAGATAAAAAAATTCTATGTCAAGTAAAATTAATTGTAAACAGTATTCCAATTTCAAATAACAAGTTAACGCTGATAAAAAATGAAACGAAAAAAGATTTTGATTTGTGTACTTTACTAAATTACATTAAATTAGGATGGCCTCATGATAAGTCTAACGTAATAAAAAATCTCAAAAAATATTGGTCTTTGAAAAATGAGTTATATGTGGTAGATGACGTCATATTTAGAGATAATGTTGTTTTAGTCCCTCGTTCCATGCGAACTGATATTTTTTTTATATAGGATAAAGGTGACAAACGAGCACACAGTCCACCTGATGGTAAGTGGTTGCTGTGGCCCATAGACATCTAGATGTAGATCTTCGATTAAGAATCAAAATGCAGATGCGTTGTAACCCGTGAGGACTAAGATGGAATGCCTCGTTTCCAGTAAAAACGGTCTCCGGTCCTCTACACACACCATACGAAACACAGCAGCGTTAAGCTGCTATTTTACGCTGGTATTCTGTGAGAGCGTGGTCCTTCCCCGGTCGAGCCGACCCATTCGTGCTACAACCATAATATAGCTGCAGCATGGCTCTACCACGTATAAAATGATATGATTGATTAAAAATGAAAAGATATGTTGAAAATTGTACACGAAGGACACTTAGGTATAGATCGGTGCAAGCGACGCGCAAGACAAGTAATATTTTGGCCAGGCATGTCACGTGACATAGAAATGTATGTCAAACGTTGTTCAGTGTGCAGGGAGAGCTCAAACGCACCTACTAAAGAACCAATGATTCCATTAGAAATTCCTGATTTGCCCTGGCTTAAGGTTGGGTCTGATTGATATGAATATAGGAAGAAATATCATCTTATTTTAGTTGATTATTACTTTAGTTTTGTTGAAGTAAAAAATTAGAAAATATTACATCACAAGTGGTTATACGCAGTATAAAGGAAATATTTTCACGACACGGTATACCCGAAATACTGATAAGTGATAATGGGACTCAATATAGTAGTCGCGAGTTCAAACAGTTTAGTACAGATTGGGGCTTCACTCACATTACATCCTCACCAAACTATCCACAGGCTAATGGAAAAAGTGAACGTGCGGTGCAAACAGTTAACTCTTTGTTAAGTAAAGCTCATAAGGGGAATAGTAACTTTGAACTCGCTTTATTGAATTACAGAAATACTCCGAGACATGGTTTGGACTCTCCCGCGCAATTACTAATGGGTCGCAGATTACGTTGTAAATTACCAGTGTGTGCAGAATTACCAAAACCACAAGTTGCAGGCCCATGTCAGTTTAAAACAATGCTGCAAAAACAGCAGCAGTCAAAAATGTACTATGATAAACATTGTAGAACGTTGCCTAAACTAAATATCGGTGACGAAGTAATATGTATAGATGGTAAGAAAAGGTCCTGCGCTAATGTAATTGATCAAGGTGATACACCTCGTTCATATGTAATACATAATGAGCTAGGAAGACGAATCCGACGCAATAGGCGTCATTTAATTAAGTCTTACATAAGTCAAGATTCTAAAAATATTAAAAAAGATATGGACATCACTGTAAATGGAGGGAGTGGCAATTTTGTGGGAGAAAAATGCAAAAAATTACAACAAATCCCTGATAATGTGATTCAGCGTAACGAGAATTCTAGTTCAAACGAAAATAAAATTGCTAAAAATGGGTTTAAAGATCATAATAATGAGGCATCAACCACATCATGGCCACACCCTCTCACACGTAGTCGTGCACGACGACTCAACATAAAAATTTATTAAATTGTTTTAAATTTTTTATTATTAAGTTAGTATTATAAGAAATTTTGTTTATTTTTGTTATTTTTTTTCGCACAGGGAGGATGGATGATATTGTATCTTTATTAATAAGGGGAGATGTTGTGGGTATTTGTGTTATTGTAAACGTAGGTAGTTATGCCATATAATAAATCAGTTGTTGTCTCGCTAACGAAAGTGGATTATTGCAATCACAACAATGGGGTCAGAGCTAAGCTCTGCAAGACCCACCGCAGAAGAACACAAAAACTGTCCGATCACACTCTTTAATCTCATGGCTGTTAGACGAGAAATGAAACTGCAGTCTTCAGCAGATTTGACAGCGTAGAGGCAACTGAACACAGATCTCCAAATGCATGCAGCGGGACTTGCGCAACTTCAATACAGCTCGTACTGAAGAAGCAATCGTGCCAGGGCTCCAAAGTCTTTACTAGAGATCTGTCTGTCAGAAAAAGCCAACTGTCGAAACTGAAAACCGTGTGTGAGAGTGTCGTTTCCGGGACACCTAAGATTTTGAGTGAGATTCAGAGGTTCTATGGGCAGCTATACATGGAGCCACACGCAAGTGTGAGTAACGATCCAAGAGCAAGTCTTATCTATTCCGATGATATTCTGGACGTCAGTCTGCGCGAGATTAGAATGGCTCTCCAGTATCCTTAAAACGGCAAAGCCCCAGGTGAGGGTAGAATTAGAGCGGAGCTTCTAAAAGCGGATGGAAAACCGTACTACCGTACTTGAAATCATTCAGAAGCTCTTTAATTTCATCCTCCATGGTGGCACTACACCAAAGTGCCACCATGGAACTGAGACATGGTCCTTCACTGCTGGTCATGTAAGAAAACTCTAAGTCGCTTAACGAGCTATGTAGAGGGCTATTCGCGGGTTTTCTCTGCGTGACAAACTTAGAAATGAGAATATCTGCAGTTGAACCAGAGTGCTCCAACATAGCGCAACGGATTAGTAAGCTGAAGTGACAATGGGCCGGCCGGCCATATAGCTGGAAGAACCGACAACCGATGGTGAAAAAGGGTATCACGAGTGGCGGCCTCGTACTGGCGGGTTAAGTGTATGGCGTCCCCTACTAGATGGAGTGACGACCTGGTAAGAAATGCAGGAAGTCGATGGATGCAGGTGGCTCAGGACCGTGCTTTGTGGCATACGTTGGGGGAGGCATGAGGATACTCAGCAGTGGACTTGTGAAGGGCTGTAATGATGATGATGATGCAAATTGATTCTTCACCGCTCCACTGTTTACGGTAAATAAAAAATTGTTTCCTTTTCGGCTTTGGTGGTTTTGATATCTATATATAATGAGTGAAGACCGAATGGTGAAGAAAATATATAGCGCGAAAGTTAATATTAAAAGGTGTCGAGGTAGACCGAGACTAACTTTCGAAGACCATGTGAGCAAATTGCTCGAAGAGGGTAGGGTCAAGAGTACTCGGATACCTAGACGTGCATGTATGAAGAAGATAATGAATCTGAAAGAAGCGAAAGAGATATGTAAGGATCGTGACACTTGGCGATCTGTTCTCTCTGGCTACCCCGTCAGGGATTGTGCGTGAAGATAAGTAAAAGTAAAAGATATCTATATATTATAATAATTCTTGTGTCTGTATACTTCGTGTGTTAGGGTGATAAACGATGACTATTCGTGCCCCGGTACACGGTGACGCAACTATAAGCCATTGTCTCAGTATAAAATAAAAGAAGTAGTTAGACTGTACCATAATGCTGTGCCATTTATATATTTATTAATTCTTTATTTCATTTCTTATAACAAAAGAATACAAAGGGCAGACTTAATGCCTTGAGACATTCGCTACCAGTCAACCCATGAAATGGTGCGAATTTGAAATAGGTGTTGCAATATAGAATTAAAACAAAATAAAAATGATAATTAACTATATATTATAATATGAATTTTACTAATAAATAAACTATACAAATATAACCTATGCATACAAATATCTATGAATACATACGTCTATTTAGTCATTTAACCTAATGTGTTGTAGAAGTTTAAACATAAAATCATATAAGCGTACCCACATCTTTTTTAACTCGTGTGAGACAGACCTTATACTAGCAACTCTAAGCCATTATTTTGCGTTGCCGCGAAGCGTTATTTTGATTTGGAAGTAGTCACTTGTCAAGGAAGGTACGCTTTTAGATCTTTGAGCCCTGACCGGTTGATTCAGTGTTCGTCATCATCATCATCAAATGAATGAATGCACTTTGACAGTGCACAATTATTTACATTAAATGTTCACTATAACATTATTTAGTTCTGGTTGCGGTGGAAACTTTTATTCTTATACGCAATATATTTTTGGTGATTTTGCGAGTCTTTAACATTAGTAATTATTTTGTCATGAAAAAAGTTTCTACTATGTGTATCTTCTAGAAATGGGACTAAGGAAATGGCTTAACGGATTGTATGATACAAATTTGTTCATTAAACGGGTTCTTTGTGCTTTGTTCTTGTTATTAATTTTTGTTTAGTTTTGTTTATCTGTTAACTTCATTTTGTCCAAAATTCATACAGCGGGTGACTTCTCTGAGAAACAACGTTCTATAAAGTTTTGTAATTATTCTATATTTTGAAAGGGAAGTTTAGCAGAAATAGGTGTGACCTAATACTGAAGAACTTTTCTTACTTGACCTAAGACCGGTTGATTTAATAATTATCTTGCAAAAATGTTTAAACTTATTATAACATAGGGACTAACACTTAATAGTTTGTCCTGCCAGATTTAGATAAAAACTCATAAATTACCTGTTATAAGCTTAGTTCGTGTTGCACTGACTAAACCATATTTATATAGAAAAGAAAGAAAATAAAATTGTATTTAATGCCTCTTTTATTTAAGTTCTAATTTAGGAATTTTGAACACTCCGATCGTAAGCGCTTAGTTATTATTGTTATCACGTTTGCTTTCCAATCCAGACATAAATTAAATATTTATATTTTGCTAATAATATACTTTTTTGAACACGGGCCTGCTTTCATTTCTGAGAAGGTATTTGTAGCAATTAGTACCGCACTGTTTCAGTGCGTGTTAGCTGATTTCACGTGTCCTCGAAATGTACTCAAAATTGATCAGCTATTTCAGAGGTTTCTTTAAGATGTATTCATTCACCACCGAGCATGTGGTGAAACAGCAATTAAAATTGCAATTAAAAATTTCATCGGTGTCGTAAAAAATCGTGTAGTGGCGGCGTAAGATTAAAAACTACCCCATCTTATCGTATTTGTGTCAAAAGAGTCGATGGAGAGAATCTGAAACAGGAGATGGGCAGCAGCATCTTCTTGATAACAATTGAAAATTATAAAAACAGCGGTAGCCAACCTAACTGCCTAGCGTGGTGGGCAAAATTCCGCTCAAAAACATAACTGCTCGGGGCAAACTGAGCAACAATACCAAGGCGACCTCTATCTACTAATACCTATATAGACTTTACTCGAACCTACTGACCTACCTTTCTGACCGAGACGCAGGTGTTCTCCCCGGCTGATACTTCGTATCTCTTCTACCCGGGGTACAAATTGGAGCACTCCTTTGTACCTCGGGCTGGAGTTTGCGTGTATGTCGGAGAAGACATCTGTTCTCGACGCCTCGGCAGTCTTGAAGGTTCGGATCTGTACATGCTTTGGCTACGCGTAGACAGCGACGACCATCCGCGCGTCTACGGGTGCCTCTATAGGTCTCATAGCGGTAATGCCAAAACAGACCGACTCATCGACCACGTCCAAATGGCTACAGATTCCTTGCTACAACACGTCCCATCCGCAGAGCTCGTGATACTTGGTGATTTTAACGCCCACCACGCCGAATGGCTCAGGTTCACGTTTAACCGATCATGCGGGGAGATCTGTTTATGACTTTGCCTTGCCATATGGTCTGACACAACTGGTTAGTTCGCCCACGCGGATTCCAGATGTGGAGAATCATAAACCATCCCTGTTGGACCTTCTGCTGACCTCTCATCCGGACGGATATCAGGTTTCCGTCGACGCCCCTCTCGGTTCTT